AAGTTGTTTCTTCAATACGAGGTCTGAGGTCTAGTTGACAAGGCCTGGCTAGCAGTCAGTAAATCATCAAGAATATACCAAATGATTAAAGAACCTCTTAGTCTCACACTGTTGATAAATAAGGGTCTGCTGATTCACAGTACATTAAAATGTTAGAAAGCTTATAAATTCACAAATTGAAGTAATCTTTTCCCACAAAGACCCTCAATGAAGTGATAAGTAAATTATTGGCTTCTTGGAACCCACCCGACCACCACTTTTAAGCTTTTCATGGATCGATTTTCTATTGCCTCTCTCAACAATCCACTGGAAAACTTTTCTTCAAGAATTTAAAAGAAAAAGAAAAACAATTAATTGCGTTCTGAGAATTTCATCTCCTGACTTGATTTGGTATTACTGGGAACACAGCCAGATAAAGGAGTGCTGCATGCTGCTGGAAGTTTATTTATCCTTTAGCATCTTCCCTAATTTGGATGATCTATTATTTGAGAGAACATACTTTTAAAAAGAAAAAAGAAGAAAGAAGGAGGGAGAGGAGGAGGAAGAGGGGGAGGAGGAGGAAGAGGGGGAGGAAGAGGGGGAGGAGGAGGAGGAGGAGGAGGAGGAAGAAGAAGAAAAAGAAGAAGAATCAACCAGAAAGCTGTGAGTGATTTGACAGATGATGTCAGAAAATTAGTAAGAATAAATACATCAATTTACATTAAATTCTTGCTGAGTCCAGAGTCATATGCAATTAAGTGCTGGAATTTACTTGAAGCAAGATATGTATTTTTCTAAATGATAAACATTTGATATGAAAGATACACTTTCTTATCCACTGTGATGACGCACATATGTTATAATTTTGGAGGACTGAGTCAAATTTGAGAAAATCTATTTAGTAAATACGTAGGGAGAAAGTCAGGAGCTTATTCATCATAGTAATGATTAATGCCCTCAATACTAGCCGATTTGTTTATCCTGTGAACTAAGGCTGACTTTGAAAAAACTATATGCTTTTGGAGGCCAAAGTTATTTAGTTCATTTTTGACTCCTCAGCCTCAAAAAAATGCCTGAAATATTTTGATGGTTTTTGAATCAAAGTAAAATAGGTTAAAATTTGTGTAGCAGTCCAATTCCTCACATCTGCAACAGCTCTCTGCTTTTCACTAAGCCTTTCTTGATGATCAGACATCAAGCCAGTCCCCCTTTTTAGATATCTAAAACATTTACTTCATATATTCTCTACCATTCAAGATTTTCCACTATTATATCCCCAACTTTATGCGCCCTTACTCTACCAAAAAAAAATTAAGTCTTGAGGCTCACAGTATTTCTTTCACTTTGTAATACCTGTGCCTATTTCTTCTCTCTTGTTCTTGTATAGATATCTCTACTTTCTTTCTAAAGCCTCTTCATTTGTGCTTTTGGTGGATCTATTCAGTAGTTCATTAGAGAACATGTTCAGTTTTTCAGAACTAGAGTGAACAGAGGGGTTTGGGGTGAGGACTGGGGTATGAGAAAAACAGGTGCCAAAAAGGTCATGTTGAAAGTAAGGCATTCCCTTCTCTGAACTACACTATTTTCTCAGTCCTTAAATGGGTCACCACTGAGAATTTTTTTAGGGTTCTCTTCTCTACACTGATTCTTTTTCTCTGTCAATAATTATGAAGGCATACATCTCACCTTAGCATAAAAAGGAATATCGCTCACTTCTACCGCCACCTATTTCTTAGTCCTACCTTTCTTTTAAAAGAAAACTCCTCCAAGAAACCTACTATCTTACACTATTCACTTCTTAATTTCTGTATTCTGCTTTCCACCACTTTTTGATCAAAACTGCATTCTTGTAGCCACTAATGGCCTGCTATGCTAATCACTAAATCCGAAGGTATTCCCCATGTTTTTTCTTTTCTTGAACTTTTGTGTGTGGTCTCTGCCCTCTCTTGGTGTTAACTCGATGGTGCACTAGTTTTGATTCTGTATCATTTCTCCTTCAATTGGTCTCTAGAGAGACCATGTTCATGCTTTCACTCCCCAGGCTCTCCCAGCCCGTATAGCAAGTCTCTCCTAAAAAACAACCCTTCTTCTGTTGTTCTCTTTTAAAGTTCTTATTCCAGGATTTATCTACTGATGTAGTTCAATTATCACACATACGATTAACATTCCCAAATTGACATCTTCTTCTCTAATCCAGCTACAGAGCACCAGAACAGGACCTCACGTATTTGTCTGAAATTCCCTTCTGGAATTGTCATCTTCACTTCTCACTTAACACTGCTACATTCAACGCAGCATCTTCCCTATAAACTGATCCACGGTAACGGCAATAATCCTTCAAGTACTGGGTTTTAAACGCTTGACTCTTCTTACTTCTTCCTCACATCTAATCAATAATGGATCATTCTTTCACAGTAGTTCCTGCAATAGCCCCCAGTCAATAAGTGTTTTATAAAGCAGTTATAAAGCAAATTGACATACATCTGAACATGTCCCACATGCTGCCAGTTCAGATTTTTCCTCAAGCTTTTCTACCCACCTCTCCCTCTTTTTATACTTCTGAAATCTTACCCACCCATCCCTGAAGGCTCATCACAGATATCATCAACTCTAAGAAGTATTTCTCAGTTCTACTAGAGATAAATAAATATTCTGTCCCTCCTAAACGCCTATTACACTTTGTTTATATATTTAATATTACATCTACCAGTCTGACTTATATGTTTATACAAATATATGTTTATATATAAAATTAAACATATAATTTTATGTTTAAAATTTTATGTTTTAAACATAAAATTATATGTTTAAGTGTTGCTCTATTTCCAAACATTAATTGGGAGCTCTTGGAAAGCAGTAACCTTGTCATTCAGTTTTTCTTCAAAGTTTGACATACTACAATGCTTAAAAGCTTGATGGTACACTAGTAGGTGCTTAAAAACCTGTCTTCAGTGAAACTGAGATGGAATTTGAACAAAGCCTTGGATTATTAGTAAAATATTAAAAGATAGTGTTCAAATGTAGCCTGTTTGGAACTAATAGCAAGGTAAGAAGGGCTCAGTGATCTAAAACATATATAAGCTCTTTTTTTACCCCCAGTGGGAATTAGATGTTATTATCTAATGCTTAATTTATTTATTTGAAATTTCCAAAAAAAGTTTTTTGCTATAGTTGTTATTGTTTTTAATTTTTCAAGTGTGTTTTGTATTTTACCTTGATAATATTTATCTGAGTTCGATCAAAGTGAGACAAAGGTATACTACATTTAAAATACTTATTTGGTTAGTTGAGCGGTCTAAGAAAAGCCTTGATGCTGATAATGGTAATTCATGGAAGAATGTTCTAATGCTTTTGCTTTTCGGAACTACCTCTACCTTTCAAATATAATCAAATATTATTTATGGACATATTTTGTGTGTGTATGTAGAATTCTGAAGTTTTCCGGGTCTGTGCAATATGTCCACTTTTTAAAATTTTCATACTATGATTTTTATGTTTACAGTTAACAAAAACAATATACTTTTAAAACTTTTTTTCACTTTCTATTGACAGAATGACCAATCCAAATCTGAAGATAAGTTATAATCAAATAGGTCATGTGGGAAGTAAATACTAAATATTTTTAACAATATTTTTTTTCTATTACACTACATTACTTTGAAGAAATATGTCTTCAACCAGTTGCCTGAGATATTTTAAATATCAAAATGCCTTTGGTGACAATAATCAGAAACCAGGAATTTCTTACTTGTGCTCATCTTCAGTTTTTATTGGTTTATAATCACAAAACATTTACCATATATTAATTTCATCATTTCATTACCAATCTTGCAACAACTTCCGATATAAAATATTACAGATGCGTACAGAGGGAGAGTTGTCAGAGAAAATAGAAAAAGGGAAGTGAGATTTAGGGAAAGCAAGGCATAAATTCTTTTGTATAATCCTAATTTAATTAGATTGGTTTATATTATTTGCTAATCGAATTGATAATGGACAAAAATAAAACTAGAGCTATTAAAATATCAACTAAAAACAATTAACTGGTTTAGTCTTACTTTCCCAGTGACCTAAATTAAATAGTTATCCATGTAAACTTAATGACAGCAGTACAGGCCCACATCAGATCTGTAAAACACTTGGGAGAATCTCACATTTCATAATGAACTTTCATGTACAGTATTACATATTCAACTCTCTTTTAAACATATTTTTTAGCAGCAAATACAAAATGTGAGCAGCAGAGGTAAAAATGTTCCACCTACTTAATTTTCATTTGGCATGTTTACAGTCAGGTAAACATAGACTGCTATGAGATAAAAAATTTTGTATTTCTTCACGAAATATCCTATGAGGAGAGATAATTTTTTTAGGGTAAAACTCAGACTTTATTCTGTCAGGCAAAGTAATTATGAAGCAAAACAAATCCACATTGTCTAATTAGGTCATTAAAAAGCATAAATGCGTCATGGAAGCTTTTCTCCTTGCCTAAGACATAAAGTAAGACAATGAAAACAGTCTGGTAACATAGAAAGGTTTAGAATTTGTTTCTTTTCAAAATAATAGGTCCTTTCATCTTTCTATTTCCCTAAGACTAAGACAGTTAATTTAGAGACAAAATCTGTAATTAGTTCAGGACTTACTCTGATTATATTTCAAAATATTTAACCAAAAACAGGAAGATAAAGAAGAAAATACATTAGAAAACTTATCAAAGGAAGTGAATAAAATCAAGAGAGTGGATTGCTGATCAAATGTATTCTGCAGAGACAAGATGAATATAAAATCTACATTCATATAAACACAGCCAATCTGGGATACCAGAAAGCTCTTAGAAGGAATATACTGGCCTCTGCCTTTGGGATTTGAAACCAGACTTTAATTATAGTTAACTTAAGTAAAAACAAATGGCATGATTATTTTGCCTCTTCCTCTCTATTTATTATTTTTTGTTTTAGAAATCTCATGGCTCAAAGTGTTAAGAAACAAAATACAAAAAAGGAAAGGAAAAAAAAACTTACCTGTGATCCTCTGGGCCCTCGTTTGTGGTCCCATTCTGAATGTCCCATGAGCTGTAAGATAATACAACAATTATGGTAAATTAAATGATACTTATTTTACAAGGCGAATAGTTTTAGTTTTTCTTTTAAAGAATAATTAGGCATTTGAAATGCATGTTTTAATAGAAATGTATTAAATAGCTATCATCAATAAATGAACACACATAAAGTAAGAAACTTCTGGTTTAGTAGCTAACATTTCAACTGCTAGTAATTTTTAAGATAGTTTAATAGCACTGTGTGACAAAAAGAGTCTGCTAATGTACAGCTTTACAGTTCTTTGTCAGGAATATCCCAGATAGATGTTAAACCATGTTAAGCTTTATTTGCATATTATTAAGCTTCTAGTTTGTTAGAAAAATATGCTGAAGAAATTCACTAATGTAGCTTAGTTTACCATCATGAATGATAAAAAACAAAGACCAAAATATTTCAATAACTTTTAAATCTGTTTTGAGCATATCACAAAAATGAGTATTCTAAGAAGTAAAATAATTTAATGTAAAATAAGCCCCAAAGTCATAATTTAGTTTTTCTTATATTTTCATGAGACTACAAGACATTATCAAGTTATTTCCATTGTTATAATAGCTCTGAGCTACTCTGCTTACACAGCATGATATTTATTTATCAAAAGTAACATTTAACTAGAAGAATATTAAGGAAATAAAAGATAGGACTGAGAGGAATAAAACTTCACAGCTGTCCAGCGCACTCACTACTCATGGGCACCAATTGAAGAAATCCCACCACCTACAATCTAGCACATCAACAAGACAGACTATGCAACGTGTTTACATACATTATTAGCTTTTCTATATAACAGCATGACTCTGGTAGATATAATGACACAGAAACTGTTCATAATAGCTACAAGAAATATCTTAGAACATTATCAAAAAATGTTTCATTGCCATATACAGAAAATGGTAAGACTTTACTGGTCACATAATACTCCTGATTAAAAGGGCTGAATTCTATAAAACTTTTAAGTGCTCAGTTCTACCCAAACCAATTTACAAGTTTAATTCAATTTCAATCAAAATCTAATCATATTTTTCAAGGAAAGTGAAAAAACAAGAACCTAATTTTATCTGAGAGAATAAACAAAAGAATCAGAAAATATTAGATGAGATAACAATACCCTGGTGGTTATTAAAATACATTATAAAAATTAACCCAATTATAAGATAATAATTTAAGACTCAAAATATAAATGAATGAGATATAGTTGACAATTTTGAAATAAACTCAGGTACATATAGCAACAAAATATGAAAAATAAAGTTAAAAAATCAGTGAGGGGGATTGTTTCATAAACTACATAAATGTCTAACCAATGTGCTGTATACTTGAAACTAATTTAAAAAATCAATGAACATTTGAGGATTGTTCAACAAACGAAAGAAGAGAAATAAATTCTTTGGAAAAAATTACAGCCGAACCTTATAATAACCATAAATATAAATTCTAGATAGATAAAAATGATTTAAATTTTAGAAAGATGAAACTATTGGTATGAAATAGAATAAAATCCAGATAAATATTTAAATTACTATGGAATGTAAAAAGATTTTCCAACTTAATAAAAAAAAAACATGCACAGAGGATCAATTGATCCAATTACGTAAAATCTTCAAATGTCAGCACAAATATCACATTGGCAAATTATCTGCAGTAAATACATAATGGCTTCAGTGTATTATGACCTCTACCAACTTGAAAGAAACATAACCTTAGGTAACTTGGGGAAGGATAAGGACAATTCATAGAATAAATATCAATAGTAGATTTGTGGGGAAAAAACTTAATTTTATTGGAAGTGAAAAAATTCACTATAAATAATAATAAAAAACTACTGTTGCCTACTAAATTAGCAAATTAATAATGTTGAATATTAGTGAGGATTTAATGAGATAAGTAAGCATATACATAGACATACACAGTATACATATTTCATATATAAAAATAACATTTTAATACATATTACATACACTTTAAAATTCTTGCCTTTTGTTTCAGTAAATAAATGTAAAAATCCAGTAATTGCAATGTGTTATCACTGTATTATCCAACAAAAGGAGAACTATCCAATAAATTATAGTACAAAATATATATATATATAGCAATTAAAATTTGGCTTTCAGAGCCTTTTAAAAAATGTATATGAGAAACACTCATGGTATAATAAAAAAATATAACAGTAATTTTAAATTACTCATTTTTAATAAGACATAGTCAATTATTGTAAACTTTGGAAATTAAAGCAATGATTTATAGTTTAGCAAGCATACAATTTTGAAAAAATTAGCCCAGATAATCATCACTTAAAATTGAATACTAAAATAGTTAATATTTTTAATGCTTTAAGTTTTTTAATTTCTGCATTTATTAGCAGTACATCTGATAGTAAATATTCATTAATCTTAATTTAACATTGATTGTATTAAATTTAACAGATACTAGTTAATAAAATAATCTGATTTTAAAATACATTAACTTTTAATTAGTTGTTCACTAGAACTATCGAAAATAATTCTTGACACATTTCAATCATCTGCCTTATTGAGGCTTTTCATTAATAATAGGAAGATGCTAACAGAGTAGGAAGATGAGATGCTTATCTTGGCAATTGTAAAGAGATGAAAAACCTGAGCAGTAGGCAATTAGAGAAAAAATTATTTTTAAGCAGAAGGCTTCTTCTGTCTTATGTTTTATCTAAATCTGCTGAAGAGAATACTTTCTAAAAGTCTGTTTTGACTATCATCCTCTCTGCAAATGAGTTTAAACTAACAGGATAACTTGGTAAATTCTGTATATGAGTATCACAATAAAAAGAGGTAAATAAATCTACAAGCACAAATTGTAATCTATTTTAAGAGAAAATATTTGATAATGATAGGTAGTGTCAGTCAAGAAAGTAATATTTAGCCAGGATCAGAACTAAAATAAGAAAAGCACGGGATTCATTGTCCTCTGTCATCAACTATCTTAAAGATAATGATTTTTAATCAGAACAAAAACATTCAAAATGTAGACTTATTTGTGTCGTCACTTACTACAGAAGATAAATTTGTTAATTTACAAAACAGAACTTATAAAATAAACTTCCAAACTTTCACTGTCTAAATCGGACTTTTTCTTCTGAAATAAAAAACAGCAAAAGTGGCCAAAATTTATGTATCGCAGAGATTTCCCAGAATTATACAAGAGATGAATGAGAGAGATTTATGGTAAAGGAATTCTATTATATTCTAGTATTATATGTCAATATCATATTATATTTTAATAGTCTGAGTTAACCAAGCATGTGGCAATATTTTAAAATGTATACTATTACTTTTTTCAAAGCAATGAAATATAAATATAATATAAGTGAAATATAATATAAAAAGAAATGAACTATGAAATCAGATACTGGAATGTTCTCTATTCAATAAAAATCAATAGGATAGTTTTCTCTTTGCATTTAAGGAAATCATACAAAGGCTTTACCATTAGAAATCTATTTTGAATTAAATAATCTGAGTCAAAATTCAGCATTAATTATTTCAGTGTTGGTATACATGGTTTGATATAGTTTTACATAATTTGTTTTTTAAATGCAGAGAAAGAGGTGGTAGTAGGGGCTGGATAGAATATCACATCCCTATCTCTCCATAATGATAGCATACCTGGCACAGATGGTAGGTAGGGTGGAGTGTGGGGGAATGAAGATAAGCTTCATATTAGTACACGATAGCATATGAATTTTTATCCTATTTGCACACAGAATTTATTTTGCTGTCATAAGAGTACTGTTCTCAGATCGTGGACCAAAGACTAATAAGCAGAATATTTTCAGTATTCCTTAAAAAAAATCTATAGTGTGATAAACTGCCTGACTTGTTTAATATTACAGATCATTTAAATTAAAATGAAGTACTTGGCCACTGGTACATATTTCTCTTAAAACAGAACCATAGGGCAAAATATTTTGGGAAGTACTTAGACACTTTCTTATCCCCAGTCTCTTGACTAATGATGAAGACAAAAAAAAAATGGTTAGTTATAATAAATAGTAAAGAGAGCTTGCACAGTGAATTTCAGCATTAAGTACAAATTGATGTTGATGTTCTATCAATGAGAAAGTCAAAACATCCTTTGAATCAAACAGGTAGTATTAGTATTAAATTGCAGATGACTAAAATAGTCATTTGACATTATCATGGGATTAGATAAAAGACAGAAATGGGTCATGGACAATGAGGAACAGAAGTTGCAATTGTGCAGTTATTTTTTTTCTTTTCGCAATTGAATTCATCTGGACTAAACTTGCAAGATAAATGAATAGCAGCATGATATCTACGCAATGCTGAGAAAAGAGACAAAGTTTATTAACATGATACAATACTGTTTTTGGAAGAGGAATGCTTATGATTCTAAGATTAGTTATACAAAGGTGTTATAAATGTAAACCACGAAAAAGGGGATTGAGGCTGAGACTAGAAAAATGAATAAAAAATAAGAAATTAAAATATATTTTGGTTGATAAAGAGTATATGGCTGCTTAATTCAGGAAGAAAAAATGTCTTTCACCATCTATAAAAGATATTCTCTTTGCTATTTAACTATGATTACTCCACTGGGTAATGACATTTTGATAAGCAACTTACCAGAAGGTTTGGGAATATATAGGTCACTAAGGTTATCTCTACACATGACAAACAAAATCTTTCCATTTGATGAAGGAATTCTTAAAGAAAAAACAAAACAAAACAAAAAACAGTATCCTTCCTCCTTTCTCAGCTCACATTAATCAGGTTAGACAAAATAAAGACCCTTAAATTTATTCCTAGAAAACTAAGTATACTTCCTTGAAAGAAACACAACCTGTTATATAAAGCATTTTGAAAATCCTAACTTCCTTGACACTAAATCATTTTCATCCTTATGGAATAAATTCTTCTCTCACTCACTTTTATTTTTAATAATAAATTTCTGCATCACAGCCTTCAGCTAACAGTATGTTA